ATGTCTCACTCGCGGCCGGAGCCGGTTCAGCAGGACCACGTCGCAGCACTGGAACTTACTGAGGAAGAGCTCATGATGAAGAAGATGCAAGATCTCGAGTTGGAAATGGACGCTATGGAAGCCGACCGCGAAGAGCGCGTCGAGTCCTCGCAAAAAGCGCCTCGCCCCGTCACACAGCGCCCGCCGAGAAGGAACAAGCGCGTAACCCTGCTTCCCGATATTCTGGAAAGTCCCAAGCCGCTTCCTGACAAGCGTGGTACACTTGGCATCTTCCAGTTCCCCTGGGGCGAGCGCTCCGACACTGCAAAGCCTCCGACACCGCCCTTCCGCGGTGCTCCATTTGGTGCCATGCCGGGCACAATGGCCTCGGGCGGTGGTAAGTTGAACGCAACTCTTGAGGCACGCGCCAAAGAGCTCGAGGCCAACGAGTACTCCTCGTCCTTCTTTGACGACTACGACGACGACGAGGACTTTGACGAAGACACTGGCTTTGGTGAGGACGGGTCTGGCAGTGATGATGGTTTCGATGAGACGACACTGTGGGAAATTGCCAGTCTGTTGAAGACCGAGCAGGTCCCGTCGACTCTGAGCATGTTCCCGCCGCCTCTTTCGTCTGGATCCGTGATGGGCGACTACATTGATGACATACAGTCTGACCATGAAGTCGAGCATCTGAACGAGATGGACAGCCGCAACTACGCCGATGTTGTCGATGTCGTGGCTGGCCTGAACCCTCAGAGCCGCCGCCGCGATTCGCAGTTGTGGAACGACCCCCAAGACGTTACGAATGCCAGTGCCAAGGAATTCTCCATGGCACGGCCGGACAAGGAAACCTGGAAGAGCTACGATACGGTGAGCCAAGCAGCGACCCTGCGCTCCAAGCCCCGCAAGTCTGAGTCGTCTACGATCGAGACCGGCCAGCTCTGGGACCGATCCACCATCAAGACGTTGCCGGCCAACCCGCGGTCCAGCCTGTGGGCAGCTACACAGCAGAAGAAGATGGAAAACGAGAAGGCAGCGTCTCAGGAAAAGGCAGCGCAGATGGAGATACCGCAGCTCGAGAAGCCCATGTCGACTAAGCTGTGGGCGCCCAAGCCGGTTCCCGAGGTCAGTGCCAAAGGCCCCTTGTTTGACCGTGACATTGCTGCCGTCGAAAAGATGAACGAGCCTACTCGAATGACGGACAAAACACCGGCAGCGCTCGACATGCCTCGCACGCCCCGCAAACTTAGCAGCGCACCATTGGAGAAGCTCATGTCCACGAGCTTGTGGACAACTGCCAACGGAGGCGCATCTCGGATGTGGGCGCCCATGCCGGTTCCCAATGTTCTCGCCAAAGGTCCATTGTTTGACCGCGACGCTGCCGCCGCCCAGAAGCTGCATAGACCGATTCGCACAACAGCCTTGGAGCCGGCCGCTGTGGATATGGTTCGTGCACCGCGGTCGCTGTCACACTTGCCACAGCTGCGGCTCGAGTCGACCAAGCTTTGGAGCGCCGCTGAGTCGTCGACACACCATGTTCGGAAGCCAGCCGGGAACAACTGGATCCTGGCCAAAGACCCCAAGACGCTGCCGGTTGTCGTCGACGACACCATTCCCGCGTCCAGCGTTGGTGTCAAGCAAAAGACATGGTGGGAGAAGATGAAGGCCGCGGCTGGAGTGTCCAGCGCTGCATCGGCCAGCCCGGCCGCAACTGTCGCCTCGGTCGAGAAAGAGATTGACCGAGTGCGCATGGCGCCACCGCCCGCACCGCAACAACAACAATACAGGGTGCGGCCCGCGGCCTCGCACAACGACTGGGAGGCGGCTCTCCAGGAGGCCATGACGGCCAGCTACCCGTGGCTGCAGCGCCGCATCAGTGCCACACCCAACCAGTGGCAGGCCGCGCTCGACCATGCCGTGGCACGAAGCTACCCCTTTGACGCTGCACGTCAGCACCCTGTGCTTGCCGGCGGTCCGTCCGTTCCCGCAACTGTGAGCAACGACGCCAGCAAGGTGCATCCTGTATTCTTCCGGTCCGTTGATAGACCGAACGATACAGTTGTCCCGCTTGTCCAGAGCAAGGCGGTCGCAGCGGCCCCGTCTAGATCTGAAGCCACATACGGTGCGCATGTTGTGGCCTTGGAGAACCAGGCCGCCGCTCGTCCGCACGCGCCGGAGAGCGGAAGTCGCGGTGTTGTGCTCCGGTTCTAGGAGAGAATTGGGGCTGCCATGATGGGAGACGAGTGGGGAGAGGAGTGGGGAGAATAAGTTAAAAAGTGTCCAGTCCCCTTCTTTCTTTTCTTTGTTTTTCTTCTTTTCTTTTTATACATGTACTTGTGTGCACGTACATATCTTTACCCGTTGACGGTCTTTTTACTTTTTCGTTTTGTTTGTTAATTCTTCGTATTACTTTGTTGTGATTGCCTTTTTTTTTCCTTTTTCAGACGTCGAGTCTTGAATTCCACAGCCTGAAATACTATTTTTATCATACACTCACGTGAACAAGTAACTGAAAGGGCAGGCAGACTGCCACCGTAGGATGATCTCTATTTGCTTTGTACTATCCACGTTGTGGCCAAGGGGTCTTCTGTGCCGACACCATTCGCTAGCTTCCGTGGCGCAGCGGGCCCGGCCTCAGAAGCTTAATTGCTCCCCGCGCCGCCTTTCGTCCCAATGTCTGCAAATCCGCCTTGCCTAGCCTGTCGAACGTCGCCTTTTTTCTCTCTCTTTCTTTTTTTTTTTTTTTTTTTTTTTCAAACGTTTTCGTCATTGTCCTCTGTCCATACCTTTTGTCCTTAAAATGAAGTCGGGGCCTTTTAGGTCCACATCGCCGGCCCGCGCCCTGTCAACGAGCCTTCCCGACCGCTTCCCCCTTTCTCTCCAACTTACAAGGAAGAACCGACCACAGCCCGTCTCATCAGTTGCCTCCTTTTCGGGTATCGTTTTCCCTATACGTACTCAGCATTGGGCTGCCGCCTCATCTCACCTCCCGCGGACTGCCTTTCGCTTAATTTCTGCATATCTGCGGCCCCGGAAACCGTCCAATGCCTTTTGTGCGTGGGAGATAGGCGCCGCCCAAACGGGAAAGGCTCTTGTAAATGTTGGTCTGGCCAGGGAGCTTGCTTGCAAATGCAACCACACTTGAGGCCGATCTATTGACTTGGAGGCGGTGGCTTGTGCCAGTTGAGGCTCTGCACGGCCATGTCTCCACATCCTTCTTTGCCGCCCCCTTTACGTTATTTTTGAGGCGAAACGCAAAAAGTCGAAAATAAAAGACAAATGTTTCATTTCCACACTTTTCTCTAAGCGGCAGGGGGGGTCAGTGGACGAATTAAAATGGTGGCTTTTGGTTCATGTGTTCTAGACTAGGAAACACCACAGCGGCTTATTACTCCTTTATCGTGCCATATATTTCAGCTCGACGTAAATATGCTGCTGCATGGCGCACTTGGCCATTGGGGTCCAAAGGCCGCCTGAGCGTTCGTTGTACCAGAAAGTGTCCAGCCTTGCCAATCGTGTCCGTCGTCTCCAATGCCCTTGCTCTCCCTGGGCATCTCGTCTTTCCAAATGCTTTATTTATAAAACCCAGTCGGCCCCCTTTCCACTTCCAACCGAAACCTAATTGTGACATCATTCGGAATATTTTTGTTGACTTACTGCAATAGCACAAAAGACAGCCCAACGCGGTCCAGTGACGACGGAACAAGAAACATTGGCATATCACACATACACACCCTCTCTCCCTCTCACAAAAATGCTTGACACAATAGTATCACGACCCGCGAGACGCCTCGCCATATCGTATGTCGCTGTCTTCTTCGCCGCCTCAAGTCTGCCGCCATTGACCGTCGCCGATTCCAATGCACCGTGCTATGACCCGACCGGTACCCTCGCCCCCGGGTATTACCCTTGCGATTCGACGGCCTACATCACCAACTGCTGCGCACCCGGCTACACCTGCTTCAGCAACTCGCTCTGTGTCGTGACAAACGAGTCCAAGTCGTTCCCCAACCTCACCGTGGGCGCGGTGGAGCGCTCCATGTGCACCAACCCGCAGTGGAACAACGACATCTGCGGCGACTTTTGCGTCACCGGCTCGGGCAATGCCGACGGCGAAATGGTCGCCTGCGGTGACAACCGCTTTTGCTGCCGCGGCGACTACAACGCAGGGCGCTGCAACTGTTCTCTGTCGTCGCCCAACGAGGGCGGCAGCTTTGTGGTGAACGCGGGCAAGCCGCAGACCATCGTGGGCGAGACGGCGTCCTTTACCGGCACCGTGTCCTACCTGACGTCGCAACCGACACCGGCCCCGACGCCAACCTCGGCCTCCTCTTTATCCTCCTCGGCATCGTTGCCCGCGAGCACCAGCGCCCCATCGTCCGCGACGAGCTCGCTGGCCAGTGGTGCGAGCACGTCGCCAACGCCCCAGCCCGAAACGAGCAAGCACACCTTGGCCTTGGGTCTCGGCGTTGGTCTCGGTGTCGGTGTCCCGCTCCTGGCGGTCGCAGGTTTCCTCTATTATTGGTTCGTGCTGCGGAAAAACAGCAACCGCCGTCGTAGTAGTGGACGCCGTCGGACGCTGCCGATGGACCTGGCACTGGACGGCACGGCATTCGGAGAGCAGATGGCAATGCAGGGAAACGCATACCGGACGGGCGCGGTCGGCGCCAGTACAAGCCTCCTCGACAACGACGGGCTTCCCGGCCACCGTCTCAACCTCAGCGACCTGAGTGAGGTGCCGCCACCGCCGCCACAGGTCCGTCACGATGTCGGTTGATTTGGGGTTGACAAAGGATGTGAGGTAGTGTTCGTTGGAATCGTGCGATTCTTCTCTTCGTGATTTTTCTTGCATTTTCCATGTTAACGTCGTCTTCAGCGTGTTTTCGTGTTTGTTAGCGGTTCTTTCAAATCGTGCTTCGCATGTGAGACAGGATCAATACATCAAAAATGATAGATGTCTCCTTTTTTTCTTAATTGATAATTTATTTTATTTATTTCAATTGAACATTCGTCCCTCTTCAGTTAGTATGAACGGGATCATTGTCCATATGTTCGTCCAACCAGTCAAGTAGTATTGCCTGGCCGTCTTCGCCTAGTTCAAGGCTATCGTCGACAGGAGCATCCACGCCGGAAACGCGCACGCGTTTCTCTGCGTCGCTGCTGCGCACTTCCATGTCGCCCTCGATGTTCCTGTTGTCGGTGTATTCTGGAAGCAAGATAGGCAGTGTCTGTTGCAGTCGTTTAATTTCGACCTTGTCGATGCCGCGTCGCATGAGACTTGCCATCTCATCTGCCTGTACCGCAAAGGAGTTGTTACTGTTTGTTGATTCCGGTATTTTTCGCGGCCTTGCACGGGTGCCTGGTTTTCTTGCTGTCGCCGGTCTTGGAGACGGTGGGGGTTCGTCCGGTGACGTGTGCAGGAAAAGGGCAGACGGGATCGAAAGAGTAGACTTCATGGGAGGGAACGCAAGGTACGCTTTGCGAGACGTGCCCAGCAATTCCATGCCAAACGTTCGCTTGCCCAAGGCCTGTACGCCGGCCTGGTCCTTCTTTTCTTTTGCTTCTTCTTCGTCGAGCCTGGCCTCTCTCTCTTCCAGAAGCCGCCTACTGATATCTCTATCAAGATGGAGCGGAGCAATCAAGTGTCCGGTGGTCCGGAAAAACAAGCTCGGGCTAGCAAATGCATCAAACAGATCGGATGGTCGGCGGAACAGCTCTGGCAGCGCCCGGATCCCAGGCGTAGCATTGTAGATGGCCGTGGCATCGTCTGCCACGGGTATGCCGTCGGCAGTCATGCCCACATACGCCGTCCAGTTGTAGATGCCGTTGTACGCAGCCAGCCCCCGTATTGCCACGCGGTGCGGCGGATGGGTCTCTGTCAAAGCGAACGATGTAGCTAGTCCGGCGCTCAGGTACGAGCCGTACACGTACAAGTCGCGGCGTAAGAAATGTCGCCGGCCGTCGCGATCTCGAGTAGACGCCGAAAGGGGCGGCGACAAGTTCTTTTTGATCCAGTCGTACGCGAACATCACATCGTGAAGCGGTCTTGGCCACATGTAAGACGGCGGTTGAATCTGGTCGGGATCCTGTGTAGCGTCTGGGCCGTTCCGTGGCTCGCCTCTCGACCACCGGTAACGAATAACCGCAATAGGATAATTCTGACGAAGAAGGAAGCTCGGCGGTGGCTGCAGCGCTGCCTCTTGTACATCTTCAGCGACGACAGCACCATCCTCGCTTTGAGCGTCTAGTGGAGGATGATGGGATGGTGGCAGATACAGGAGCAGCGGCTTTGTCGGCGGGTGTTTGTGGACATTGTACAGACTGTAAGGTACGATCAGCGACATCACTTATCAATGCACCGAGAAGAGAAGAAGACCAGGCCTCACCTGACGATGATGCTACCCGACGATGCGCAAGGGACAAGAACGTGTTCGACACGCTCAGACAGACCGACGACATAGTCGAAATCGTCTAGTGCGCTAGCTGATAATGCGCCCACTGGCGCGTGGAAAAGCCGAGCGGCGAGACCGCCTGCAATCCGCCGAGGACGCGGTCGGTGCCTCTCCTGTGTGGTCAGCCAGCCTGCGGTTCTGTGAACGGCGTTTGATGCAGCCCACAGCGGCCGCGCATGTCGTCCAAGGTGACGCAGGCCACCACCGATTGAGCGTGACATCGCCGCCACCCCGGCAGCCTCGGGAGGCATCCAACGGCCGATGACTGAGACCCTGCCTGGGTTTGGTCCTCATCTAAGGCACTTGTCCTCTGATCCGTCGACTTGTTCAGGCCCCAAATGTCAGCTGGACGTCATGGTGGTCTTGAACACGTTTGGGGGGTGTTAACTATTGAAACTTGGCCCGGAAGCGTGCTAGGGCACGCCACATCGAACTGGGACGTGAATAGACGTGACGGAAGCCCAAGAGGGCCAGAAAAACGCGTCTCCAAGTTCGAGCACAAGGCCAGACTTAGCCAATTGGGGAATTTCGTGGGTAACGTCCGTTCGTCACATGAAGAGTGTTAAAGCCGCCAAAAAGGCACCGTGTTCTACGTCGTACCAAGCTCAAACATCAGCGACGTACAACGAAGCCGCTCGTGGGACTTTTCCGAGGTTTGGCGTTTGTTAGAGTGTCCAGATTGTACGGAGTGCGTCGTCTCGCAGGGTTGTGTTGTCGTGCAAAATGCACTATTGCCTGTTGGTTCTGTTGCTGTCAAAAACCTACGCGCAGTAGTCATGTGTTTTAGACCCGTCACTTTGGCAGGCACGTCCAATAGCTGATCGTACCTGCCAAACATGCTTCGTCCCGCGGTTCAGGGAAAGAACGATTCGCCACATTGAGCGCTAGTCCCAAAACGGTTACAAATTGCAAGTTTGAAAATAACTGGTGCTGAGAGCAAAAGAAGGTCGAGATAGCAGGTTTAGGTATCGAGGGAAAGACAAAGACATGCAAAGTCAAAGAGAGCATGAGCCAGTTTGCGACTTGCAGCGTCAAATTGGGTGCGTAAGTTTGCAGTTTGAAATTCCTAAAATGGTGGAAAATACGACATAAAATATCGACAATTGGGACAAATGCAAGCAAGGCAAGAAGAACTCGCTTTTTATTGTTGCGGCTGGCTCTGTTCCCATTGTGGGGAAAGCGCGACCAAGACGAACTGACAAAGGTGCAGGAAGTCGGAATCCACTTCACGTCATCGCCTCCCAGTTTCTCTTCTTGTCCGATCGCACTTTCCACAGTTACACATTTCCGTCATTGCCACCTATCACCTGTCATTTATCTTAACATCTGTCCATCGTGCCTTCCACGTTTCCTCGAGGTCTTGGCAATTGCTTGTTTCTCGGACCTCTCTTCTATTTTTGCTCGTCTTTGTCTCCAGTGCTGGAATCCCCTACTTTTTGCCACCTTTACATCGTATCCCTGGCAAAGGACTCGACCGGCACGCGAGGAAGAACAAACGCTCGCATCTTTAACCTACCAGGAGCTCCTATTGTGTCGCATGCCATGTACAACGTGCTGGCTGACGACATAACGCGAATTTGGGCACAGCGGTCCACCCTGTGTTGCAGTGGCAGCTCAACTTCCAGCTCACCACCGCCTCCCCAGGCTGAATGGGCATGCCATAGCTGTACGTTTGGTCTCTACGCTGGTTTCTTACGCTCTCACCATGGATGACTCGGCAGGTCAGTCCGTCGGCGAGTATGAGGCCGCATTCGACCAGCTGGGCCGGCCTAAGCCGCCGTCGCGCACAACCAGCATGACCATGCCGGCTACTGCCAGCGCCCGCCCAGATGCCAATAAGTTATCTGCCAATGGTGCCGATGATGGCCGGCATCTCATGAGCCTCGATGCCATCGTGACCGGCCGCCACAGCAACTTGAACGAATGCATCGACGAACTAGACAAGAGGCGCAGCTTCAGCATAGACCGTCGCGCCGCGGATGCCGCCGCCATGGCCTACGACCGCCGTGCCGCCGCCCTGGCGGCCGACTTTAATGCCGAGCATGGCGACCTCAACTTGTCGCCAAGTCGCTGGTGGTTTGCCTCCTCGGCGTTTCCTATGATTGCCGCGACCCTCGGCCCTGTTGCATCGGCGTTCAGTATCTGCGCGCTCGTCCGGCCGTGGCGGCAGGTGATCCTCGCGGGCGAGACGATCGACACGGCCCAGTTCACCAAAGACCCGATATGGTGAGTGGCCGACGTGCCATCCTTCCGCGTGCCTCGATAACGTACTAACCACCGTCCAAGGCTCACGTGTATAAATGCTGTCCAGCTCGCGATCGCCCTGGTGTCCAATATGTTTCTTCTGTTGAACATGGCGCGGCGTGTTCGTTTCTCCATTGCGCAGCCCATCACGATGACCGGCTGGTACTTTTCCTCGCTCGCCCTCATAGCATTGGTGTCTACCGCATCCGGCCCGCTCAAGGATGGCATCAATTTGGACGGGCAACTGGTATGGTCACAAGCGTTCTACTACGCCATCTACGCGGCCATCTTGTACATGGTTGTGGCCTCGCTCATGGTCGTGACGTTTATCGGTGCCGCAACGGGCCACTATCCCAAGGACTTCCAGCTCACAAACAGCCAGCGCACATTGATGTTGCAAACAATTATGTTTCTCATGTATCTGCTCATCGGCGCGCTGATCTACTCTAATATCGAGGGTTGGTCGTATCTCGACGCCGTGTACTGGGCAGATGTCACGCTATTTACAATCGGTTTTGGTGACTTTGCAGCGCAGACGACCTTGGGCCGTTCACTTCTCTTCCCATTCGCACTCATTGGCATCATCAGCCTCGGTCTGGTCATTGGCTCAATTCGGAGCCTTGCTTTGGAACGCGGCAGACGCCGCCTGGATGCACGGATGACGGAGAAAAATCGGCGCAAGTTTCTCAACACGCTGCACAAGAAGGGAAAGGATGACATTCTTCGGCCTATCCGGGATCGAAGGGAATCCATTGACGGTGCGCCTCGAGGTGATTACGACGGCTCATCCAGCTTCGAAGGCCCGCGGCCCAACACGACTGGCCTCACCGAATACGAACGCCGCGAGGAGGAGTTCAACATTATGCGAAAAATTCAGCACCGCGCCGCCCAAAGACGGCGCTGGTTTGCAATGGCTACGTCCGGAGGCACGTGGTTGGCCTTGTGGCTGATTGGTGCGTACATCTTCCAGACCTGTGAACATCCCTATCAGGGCTGGAACTACTTTGATGGCTTCTATCTGGCATTTGTCAGTCTTACCACGATTGGCTATGGTGACGTGGTGCCCATATCAAACGCCGGCCGGTCCTTTTTCGTTTTCTGGTCGTTGCTGGCTTTACCGACCACAACCATTTTAATTTCCAACGCGGGCGACACAATTGTCAAGGTCATTAGCGACGTAACGAACGCTGTCGGCCGCGTCACCATTCTCCCCGGGGAGCGTGGCCTGAAACGAGACCTCAAGGAAGTCCTTCGTGCACTTACGTGTGGTGTCGTCTTCGACGATGTTGACATTGAAGAATCGCCACCGGGCCTCCTGGGTGCTGCACAGCAGCCCCCGGAACAGCGAGAAGAGTCGCTTGCGGAAGAACAGGAAGACGAGGAAGACGAAGCGGAGGAGGCTGTCAATGAAGCCGAAGGAGTCCGTCGTGACCAGAATCCATCTGACGACGATGAGAACGCAACACAAGGCGGTGGCTCCGGTAGCAGCGGCAAAGCAAAGAACGGCAACGAGGCAGACGGGAACGATAAGGACACCACAAAAACGCGCCGTCCGAGAAGTGGCAATCGAAAAGTCGGGAACGCATCTGGAGGCCCACGAGATGCCGAGAAAACGAACCGTGAAGACTACGCTTTCCAGGACCAACCGAACCCCGTTACCAATGACGGTTTGGGGCAACAAGACAATGTTACTGCACCGGCGTCAATGGACTCGTCATCACTGCAAAACACATCCCAAAGGCCGGCTATGCCATTGCGGAAGAGCAGCACAACGCCTGTGGAGATGTCCGAACAGCCGAAAATGAAACGAGTGCTCTCAGACCTGTCGCAGAGCAGCACGAAAGCCACGAGCTCTGGAGATGGCACGGCATCCATGGCATCACGGCGGACGCGGACTGGAGACCAGTCGCCTTCCTCACGCCGCGGTACGATGCGGAGTGGCAATTTATCCGGGTCGAACGCCACCGCGAGGGAGGGTGGTGATGCGTCTGGGTTCGCCTTCGGATCAGTGCCATCGGTGTCAGTACCGCGCGTCGACCTGCCACAAGAGCTCCCTGCGTCGCGCGCAGAGTACCACTGCGTGCTGATTGACGAGATTGCGCACGTCACTGAACATTTGCGCCACTCGCCACCGCGCAAGTATACGTTCCAGGAATGGGCGTGGTTCTTGAAGCTCATCGGTGAAGACGAACGCAATGCAGACCTCCATCGCCGCGCACGTATGAAAACGCACAAGAAAAGTGGACGCGGCCACAGCGGTGAAGGCGGCGATACCGACCCGCAAGACACCAAGAGCTCCGTCGATTTGAATCCTGACAGCGAAGACCCTGCGCGGCTACAATGGAGTTGGGTCGGTGCTCAGAGCCCACTGATGAGCACCCAGGAGGAGGCCGAGTGGATTCTGGACAAGCTGACAAAGCGCCTCCAGGCAGAGCTTCGGACAACACGAGAAGCAATTGCTCTTTATCGCAAGCACCACTCAAAGCGACTGGAACAGGAAGAAGAGGAAGAGCAGCTAATGCTAAACAAATCCTACTACAATCAGCCTGGCAGTGACGACGCCGAAGACGACGAAGATGGACGAAAGGCCGACCCGGGCCCGTACAGCCGCTCGAGGCAGCTCAAGAGGCGTGAAACGCACTCCATCAAAGAGGAGAGTTGAGATGCGCATATTTAGCCATACCATTTACTTTGAATTTGCATTGTCGTCATCGGGGGAAGTACGGCGTTTGGATTCTTTTTGGTGTCTGCATTTGGATTTATTCTGGAATACATGCCTATTGAAGATTGGTTTTCACCTGATTCCCGTTTAATTCTCAACGGGCTAGCACCTTAAAACCTGAGCATCAGACACATCGACTTTCGTGTTCCTTCTTCTCTCATCATAACGGCCCGTCCGCGGTCGGCCACCGGCGCCATCTGCGGCAAATCCAGGACAAGACCAAGTCTGTTTGAAAGCGGAGGCGTTGTGAGCGCCGTGTCACGACAGTCCGCCAAGGAGGCGAAGGGCAGATGCAGCAGGGAGAGGCGGACAGGCTGAAACATGCGTTGCCACCACCACGTTTATCATGTGTGCTATGAAGTGTGCAGTTGCGGTCGTGATTCTGCATTGATTTGGAGTTTTGTCCCGATTGGGACAGCTGAAACACTTGTCAGTTGAGCAAGATGCAGCGAAGATGCAGCAATAATGCAACCTTGGCATTCGCAACGTCTCTTTGTGTGCTTTTAAAATGCGTGCGCACTATGCTGAACGCCGGAGTGCATGTCAGGGCGCATATGCAAATTCTTTTTGTCGCCCTTATTTACCAAAAAAAAAAAAAAAAAAAAAAAAACATTTCGCTTGACCCATCTATATGTTTCCTTGTTATTGTGCTGCACTTCATCATCGCACACCCCTCCATCTAAGTCGAATATCGCGGATCTTTTCACATCTGGGGGAAAAGAATGATTATAATATACTCTATTGCGTTCGTTACGACGTACGTGACATCAGGTGAGGGGGCGACGGTGTTTCAGACGTATGCATGTTATGGAAAGCTCAAGATGCACCAACACGACGTTCGCGACCACGCTCACGGACACTCTCGTTACCACAGTATTTGCATCTCTATTATATTTCCTTATGATGGTTGTACTACATTTCTCTCTTCGTCTATCCCCGGCCGGCCTTTCGTCGCCAACCACGGCCCGGTGACGGCCAGCCATGGGGATCACCCCCTGAGACACTGTGAAAACAACAACCATAGCACGGCCATTCGAGGACGCTTATCCTGCAGGCATCCCAAAAAGGACGAGAACGAGACAGGCCAAAGCTGACTACCGACCAGAAAAAAGAGGAAGTCGGCAATATGCATAAGAGAGGATATATAATATAGGTCGTCCACGCACGATGCTGTCTCACCAGTCTCGTTGCGTTTGGTTTCTTTTCTTTTTCTAATATTTGATTTTTTTTCTCCCTACGACCATCCCCTCACACGTCAGACTTCAGCCTGCAGGATACACCTGGCCAGTGGTCGGTTCGTGTTTTGTTTCCTCGCTCCTCCCACTTTCGGCCACCCACCTTCTATGGACCTTTGTTCTCTGGTTCCTGTTCTTCCCCGGGAGGGCTTTGGCCAACAACCTAGCGCTTATGCTTCCCAAACTTCTGCTAGGAACCAGCGCTCGCCCGATCGGGCCAGTTATTCCCAGCCTTCCGTTCCTCGCTTCCCATTCTCCTACCCCCTATAGCAAGTGTTTTGGGTGGGGGTATATTACAGCCAAAGAACCGTGTGTGAACGCCTGCACAAAGTGTCTGCTGGCTAAACAACACAAGAGGGGGCCGCATTTCTTTTCACCGGTCACCCAGAGTCTTGCCGTGGCTGGCCCGAGCCAGCCCCCAAGATACGGAGGGAGCATGCTCCAGGCCAAAGGTGTCGCCAAGTGCATTCATGCACTGGTTCCGGTGTCATTTAGTTGTAAGACACAGTGAAACGGAGAAGAGAAACAAAAACACCGGCATATACCAAGAAAAAGAAAGAAAAACCACCCATGTCTTCTCGCGTCGGCAGCGAGAACCATGATCGAAATGGGAGGGATACGGACATTCTTTGGAAAACCAGGGCGGCGCACAAAGAAACCAACACCAATGTCATGCTACCGTCGGCGAATTACAAATTCAGCGAACAAACAAGCAGTTTCTGCTTGTCGAATGAAAGCTGAGGCTGTTGCTTCTCTCTATAAGGAATCCACCAGCAACAAGGTATACCACAAGACGGAGAAAATTATGTGCCTTGTTTGCGTTGCACGTACCCATTCTCTGCTCTGTCTGGTGCATCTCCGGTCTGCGGTTTATCTCTGGCACGCCTGCGAGATTCCGTTTTGGTCGACCTGTCGCCACCCGAGCCAGATTGGGAATTGTTGCGAGGTTGCGAACTGCACACCCGCAGAGTCGCAAATCCACATGGGCAAAGGGCACGCGCTGCTGCAGACGCCCTCAGACGCAGGAGGAGAGAAAACATGGTTCTCCAGTTGCTCTTGGTATACAATGCATCGGTAGTCCACTGCAGCAACCCCCTCGCTCCTGGTTGCCAGCCCCATCTTATTTCGTCACGTCCTCCTCCCCGTACCAACCTTGCAAACAAAGGGACGGGGGGACACCATGTGCCCTTGCGTCCGCGTGAAAGGAGGACAGGCCAAAAGCAAGTCCGCGAACGGAGCCTTGATCTCAAGGACCACGGGACGCATACTCCGTGTTGATTTTGCTGTGAGGGATGGCCCGTGTTTATGGCGCTGGACCTTCTCCCGTGGCCTCACGAAGCCAACAGAACCTGGTTTCCGGAGCCTACCGTCGCGATCCTGCTTAACTCCTTCTTCCAGGGTCTTTCGTCTCCCATAGACATGTTTCGGCTATGAGTATAGTTTCGGATATGTCTTCATCTTGTACTGGTTTTGTTTTATAAGAAAAGCAAAATTCCCCTTCCGAAACAGAAACTCCTCATTTTACTTTGAAAAGAGCAGAAAACGGTGGCAGGAGATGCCGGTTCTGTAGCGAGGAGTCGTAAGGACCAGCCTCCATACGACCACCGTTGGAGAGAACATGCACAGCGTAAGGTCCACGCAGGAATCCAGCCTCCAGCATCATCCACAGGCGCTGTGTTGTTGGGTGGCAAGCACAGTTGACTGCCAACACTGAAGTTGCACTCGCTAACCTGACGGTGTCCGTTGTCGACAGCTGATGATGAGGTTGGCCAATAGTACCGGCCAAAGCTTGTGGCTGGCTGTTTGTTTCGAGTTGCATTGTCTTTGTTTCCCATCCCCTTGCTCCCGAGCCTGGAGAGCCTGGCGTGTTGTCTGAGCACCTCGTTTGTTACGGCTGCCTAGTTACAGCAGTATCTACACTGGCACAAGCCTGGTAGTCGTTTCTGGAACCGCCTGGCTTTTTCCCTGCTGTCCAACTGTCTTCTGCTGACTTCGTTGGCCGTCCGTCGGGATATCGTCTTGGCATCATATGGAGAGTGTTGCTTCGTACCAAATTTGTGAGCGCCATCGTCATTTCCCACAGCCATCTTTATTTCCCCTAGGCCTTCCGCTCCTCGCCCACCGTCTGCAGGAAAGAGGCTTCGACCTGGTGTGTCCCAACTGTGGTCGGGGCCTGCTGTCTCGGGATCCAGGAGGAAAACAACTAAATTAAGTGTTGTCCTGGGAGATGAACGACGTAGGAAGGGCTCACACAGCGTCTGGTTCGTAACAAAAAGCATGCCAAAGCGGGTAGGCACGCCCGGGCACGTCAAGGAAAGCAGAGGGAGGCTCGGGAGGATTGGACGTACGAACCAAGAGAAGCAGGATGAGGATCAGCGGGAAATGAAAGCAAAGGCTATGTGTTTGCCCTAGGAAGGAGGGAAAGGCCACCTACTTTCCCCGGACACATGCATGGCGATCAAAATGATGATTATCTTGTGTCTCTCGTCGTCACGGTTCACTGATCTTGTCATATTTTCCGTGCTTTCCCCCTTTTCCAGCCATGAACGGGGCGATGATGACGTGGAGACGACAGCAGACGAGATCGTGCAAGCGAGGTCCTTGAGCCCTTGGAGAGGGACATTAAAGGGGTCCTTGGTCTTGCTACGTTGGATGCGCTCGGTCATATGTGATGTCCAAGGCTTGGAAATCAAAGGAAGGAAATACGTTTAAGGGAAGCGAAAATCAAAAAGAAATGAAAAATCGTCAAGTGGGCCGCACCTCGTGTTTACCATTGCAAGCAAAAGAAACGGACGGAAAAGACCTGCGGCGAGCTGCGGCACTGTCCACATCGTGTGGAGACGTTTCACCAGTCGGTGTCTGCGCAAGCGGTGTTCTGCTTCGTTTGCACTATTTGCCGCCGCCTCTCAGAACGACGGGAGGGGGTGGCTACATGAAAGAGTCCCGCTTTGCAACCACATGTTGTGCTTTGGTCTGCTGCATCTCCACCAGACGGGGTGCTTGTTCTTGCAGATGAGCGCACAAAGAAACCGGCAAGGCATCCAAACGCCACCGGCCGTTACATTTTCGGTTTCTGCCCTCGTTCGTCCACTTTGCTTTCTGGAACAAGCATGTGGAAAGACAGCTTTGACCTCCAGAATAGGAAAAGGCGAGTGACGAATTAGGGAAGCGAGCGAGAGGGATGTGTTGAGGGACGTCTTGATGTCTTCGGTCGATGCTACCCTTGTTGCCTTTTGGCGTCGTCCTAGGGCCAAGTGCGAGGTCAAGATAGGCCAAGATAGGTCAAGTATCGGTCAAGTATCAGCAAGTATCAAGAACATGGCAATGCTGAAAAGGAAGATGCGAAGAATGAGCGATGCCGGTCGAGACTCAGTTGGCTACCCCGTAGTCTTGCCTTTTGTACGGCGCTACGCAGAAGCGTCAAATGGCCGCGGGCCTGGCAACGCCCGCACGCCCCTCCTCTCCTCAAGCACCTGGCCAATCTCGTCTCTCAGATGCTTCCTCCTTCTCCTCGTCTCCTCATTGTCCTCGTCTCCTCTGCTAGGACGAACAGCTGTCCGACCAACGGTCCCACATGTCAGACCTCGTGACGTGTTTGGAAGAAGAAGGAGGTTAACAGCGAAGGAGACGGTGGGTGGGTATCATGGAAAACGAGCGAGTGCTACGTAGTGGAGGAGGAGAGTAGGGCGTATCGGGGACTTTGGC